TATATATATATATATATAGACACACACACACACAGATATAGATAAATAAAGATATATAAATATGTATTCTGAATTTTTTAGGAGTCTTATTGTATCTCTGGCTCGCATGCCTTTGGTGAACTCATATGTGGTGACGCCTCCCGATGTATGGAATCAAGGTTGGGCTCCAGAATTAACAGGTCCTGCAAAAACCACAGTTCCACCATTGCCTGTGGAGTGCTTGCAAGACATAGATGTGTTGCAGCAATTAGTCTTTCGGTATGGTAATTTAATAATTTAAGTTATTTCTTCACTTTCTATGCAAGTTTCTCTTCTTATTGTAAATTGCGGAATAATCATGTGAAAATTATATACAAAATCTCTTATCGGCCCTTTACTTTTAGTTGACTATTTTGTTTATCACATGTTAAACTTGAAAGAAAAATTATTTTCACACTACTGTCATTTTATGTTGATTTCAACACAAACCCTTTGCTTCAAGAATTCTTCATTATTTTTGTCTATTGAAAATCATTTTGACTATTATTATTATTATCATTATTATTATTGTTGTTGTTGTTGTTGTTGTTGGCTATAGTTTTCTGATAATATTTACTCATCTATTTGATTTATTTAGATAACTGATAGAAGTAGCGTTATAGTATCATTTTTCAAAATCAGTTTTGAGAATTTATAAAGGATAATAATTATAAGGATTATAACTGATCAGATTCTCATATGAGTGTAAAAACTATGCTGTGAACATGCTATGCATTTCCTCTGACGTTCGATTGCTTTGGTAGGATGACTTTACTGGGATGGACGAGCCGCCAACAATTTGAAGAAACTTGGATGGCACTTCTGTCTGTTTTGAGTGCTAGTCCTGCACCAGCAACTGGGTCAGAAGCAGCAGCACCTCCTGAAGAAGCTGCTCTTGTCGCTCAGGCAGCTGCTCTGGCAGTGCAGGCCCTCACTGCTTTGTTGGTGCAGACGCTGTTGCTGCCGTTACCAGGCCGCCCTGGCACCAGTGTGTTATTACATCAGCCTCGGGCTAGAGCTATTTCTTTACTTCCTGTGTAAGTTTTTCTCCTCTTGTTATAAATTATAAATAATCTCAATGAGGTTCTGATGAAGTATTGATCCACTCTTTCTCAAGCAATTTAACAAGGTAATGTAGTGGAACTGAATTTTTAGGTTCTTTTGAAGGTGACTGGGGTTCTATTCCCCTTCCGTCCCTCCCTCCCTCCTGACCCAACTGTCCTTCCCTCATCCTCCCTGTGCCCTTCCCTCCTCTTGCTCTTTGACTGTTTCCCCCTCTTCCGTCCCTCCCCCATCTGTCTGTCTATCTATACGTCCATCCCTCCCCCATCTGTCCCTCCCCATATCTGCTCCTCCCTCCCATATTTGCCCTTCCATTCTTCCCTCCCTACGTCTCCCTTCCTTCTTCCCTGCCTCCACCTTCCCTCCTCCCTTCCTTCTTCCCTTCCCTTCCTTCCTCCCTCCAGCTTCCATCTTTCTTCATCTTCCCTCCTTCCATTCCTCCCTCTTCCTCATGAGAGAACTTCCCTCAAATGCATTAGAAAACTTTGCTCAAAATGAATGGTTTTCCTTAGAAACCTTCCTTCATTTTGTTTTATTTGAAACACAATTTGAAATAAATTGACTACTACCAATTGTCCATTACATCCGTAGTCTGTACTTCTTTCATAGTAAACTTTGCTTTATAATAAACTGCTTGTAGTAGTAAACTTGACTGTTAGTTTACTGAGAAATGTCAATATAGTGCTGTAGAAGAAATTGATGTAGAATGATTTTACTGAGGTCAATTTGTAGATGTTAAGAGCATGCATTTCAGCCATTAACATAAAACCTCAAAATTTGATTTAGAATATTTGTGCGAACCACTATTCAAGAATAGAAATACAAAGATTTGAAAAGTAGAAAGACTCAAATTAAAAGGCACTTGGCAAGAAGATATTGAAAATGCGGGAATAGAAAGAAAGTGGCAAAAACACCTCAAAAATGTTCTGATTATTACAGAACATTGCACCAGCAATTTTGGTTGTATGATATCAAGCACCTGTAGATGTACTCTCAATAGGCAAGTGGCTAATCAAGTATGTTGTAATCGATCTGATACAACCTGTGAACAGACGTTTCTTCATCGTATTTCATAAATTTTTACTTTTTATTATGGGGCATAACAGTCATATTCACTGGTGCAAGTTTCTTCTTCCTTGGTCATTAAACTTGATCTCTAGTAATTCATGTTCACTCCATCTTGTTTTGAAACTACTGAGCTTTTTTCCCTTTAGATTTGCAGAAGAGTTGTTTAGGAATATGATTATTTTCCTAGGCATATGTTACATGGACATGCCATTTATTTCTATAATTTGTGAATTTATTTTTGTTGAGATTGTAAATTCCAAGGTTCTTGTGGATGAATCTCTCTCCTTTTTTCTTTCAACAACTAATTTGCAGAGATGTGATTGGTAAAATTGTAGAATTCTGGAATTTATAACTTGTTCAAATGTATTTATCTTCTGAAATGAGCTCATATCTTGGGGAGTGGGATCCTTGGAAAGTCGTAGACTTTGTTTTACTACTTGTAGAGACTAGTAAATTGTAGAGTTTTGCTGTTGTATACAATTTTTATAGACCTCTCTGTAGGTTGTCTTCATTGTCAACTCTAAGTGACTTCAAACAAAAGAGTTTCAATAAAATTTGACCCTTTGAAATTGCCTTCAATATTAAAATGTTCAAAAACATTGCTTCCACTCCCTTACAATGTTCTCAAGATATAAAAAATTGGTAAAATACATCAATCTTTTCTAACCCCTTTGTTAATAGTTTCTTCTAAAAGATATCTTGAATTTAGTTTTATATTGATCTGTGAACTTGCATTCATATTCCAACTAATTCAAGTGGTATTCCTCTTTACTCAGTTTTGTTCCAGAGTTTGCTTTTAATGACTCTACCAAATGCTTTACTGTAATCAATGAAAACAATATAAGACCCCGAATTGTACTTTATTTTTCTGTTTGTTGTTTAAGGAAGCATATATTGTCTTGAATAAGGTCTTCCCTGCTGAAATTCCATTTCTTCTATACAAAACAATACACTTTCTTTTATGATTCTCAGTCTATTTACAATAATTATTTTCATGAATATTTTAAATGCTCTGTTCAACAAACTTAAATAACATGAAACTCCTTACAATGCATTGACTGCACTACTGAGAACCATGCTGAGCCTAATCTGTCCCATGGTCCTGGCCTACATTGAGTAGGCCAGCCCCAACATCTGTTAACTTCAAAGTCCACTTTCGGCAGTAAAGGGACCAAAAACATTACCCCAACCAAAAACCATTACCAAGTCTGTTTTCTTGAAATACTTCTCTCAAAGTTTATCTGGGCCAGAGCTCCAAGGTATTTTAAGAACAATAAATACATTTTTACAGGGACTTCTGAGGGGCACTTTGCCCGTGAGTCTGACAGTCTTGTTTTTGTTTTACAAACAGGACGTTGGGTGCAGGTTATTTCCCCACTTAATTGTTCCATGTTTTTAAAAGGAGTGACTGTATCTTTAAAAAGCTGAGAGTAGGAGCTCTTTAGATACTGAGTGCAGAAACTTCCAATCACTAACAGTTCACAGGCCAGTTTGGGTAGTGTGGTCTGTATGGCCACCAACATAATTTCTTTGTATACAAATTTTAATTTGTCTAATAGCACTGGTCTCCCTATAAGTTAGAGTAAAATAAAGAAGTATTATGAAAATGTTAAGTGAAGTATAATAGACATGAATATTATCTGCATAGATATAGCATTTCAGTAATTGTGATAGTGTTGTTAGATTACTTACATATGAAAATAAAAAGGAGCCTTGTATTCATTGTGTAGTATTCCGCAGTCTGCATGTGAGATTTCAAGAACTATTGAGATATGTTGTTTAGATGTAACTGAATTAATGTCATTGTTAAGGGGGAGAAACCAATGGACTCTAGCTTGAGTAGTCAGATCCTGTGACATTCTGTGTCAAATTGTTTGTTAAGTCATATAATTTGTTTTCTTTACCCTGAAGACAATTCTGAACAAACTTAATAACATCGTCACAAGTGAAATATTCCTTTCTAAGACCATTGTGATAACATATTATGTGATTCAAGGTACTCAATAATTGCAATCCTATTAGTCTTTCAAACCCCCTTTGACAATGGAGATACAATGGAAATAGGTGTGTAATTGATAGGCTTATTTTCTTTCTTCTATTAAATTCCTCTGTATGTTTTCAACTGTAATATCATGTAAAATATACTTCAGCATAGAATATGCACTTTTCACCCCCCGTAGGTTGTAGTACGTGTTTCATTCATGCTGTTTTTGCTGTCCCTGATAATAATTTGATTTCAGTTGTCATCTCCTAGAAGGTAACTCAATTTTCATTTGTTCTATTGTGTGAATTGCATATAATAACTTTGGGAAGTTTAGATGCTACAACTTCTCATACAGTGTAAAATGTTCTTCTAAATGTGTTAATCAAAGAAAATATTGATTCATAATCAAAACTTGCATTTATATTTTCTAGATTCTTTCTCCTGCATAAGGATTTGTTTAATTTCAAGTATTGACATTGTAACTGTGTAATTAATGAAAACCAAAGGTAAATAAATTACAGAAATTGGATAGGTTTTCTCCATTTTGAATGATTCCCATATACCAAATTCTGTGGAGGCTTGCAGATAGCCTAGAGTTTGCATAGAATTTTTGCCACAGGAATCACATGCCTCCTGCACAATTACGGGCAGCTCAGGAGCTCCTTCTGTGGCCTCTTCGGGGACCTGTCAGTTCTGGTTCGATACCTTCACATCCACAACATGTATTTCAACGATCCAACCCTGAACGCATCAACAATCCATTCAAGTAGGTTTACCATTAAAGAAGGGTGAACTGTATTGATGTTAAAGACTGCTTACTGATTGAATGTAAATGGAAAGTCATAAGATGAAAATAATGTTTCTTTTTATGTTCCTAAAAGTGTTAAGGTGAAAATAGAGTGACTAGTAAAATTCTTATTAGTAGATGATTTATAACATAATTTGTTATTAGTTAATGTCAGTTAAACTATAGTTCATTAGAATAAATAAAATAAAGTGAATGGCACAATTGACCTCAGAAGTGAAAATATATCAAGACAAATGCTAGATATTCACACTGAGTTGCAATCCTGAGTCGTTTGTAATAAGATAAAATCTATTAACAAATTGTTGTAATAAATTAAAATGAAACAAATAATTCTGTTATGTCTTTAAAGGTGTTTTTATTGTATTATAGCTATGGATATAGTCAAGTGTCTCTGGATTACATATGGACAGCTACACGCATGATGGCTGATTTAGTGAAAGATTCTTCCAAGAGAACAGGTAAACAAAAACTTGATATTTTACACACAATTATATCACTTTATTTATTTATTTCATTCTTTACTTAATTATAAATTTATCTTATTATTAATTGATTATATAAATAAATATATTATTATAATATAACTATTATATTATGATGGTTACTATATGTAAGAAATGTAATAATGTCATTTAACAGTTTTGAGAGTAGTATATAACATAAATTAAACATACATTATATCTTTAATTTAAACAGTAGTTTGTAATTCATATATAAATCTGCATCTCAGCTACATCACAAATCAGAAATAAACCCTTGTTATGAATTTAGTTTGTTATTCAAATTTGGAATGCCCTATCCATTGGTAAAGCAGTTACAAAAGATTGACTCAAGAGAGGAAGTTGTGACAATATTTGGAAGTCATTTGCATGGTCCATGACTCTGTTAGTCCAAAAATTACACTTTTACCATTTTCATTATATTTTCATAAATTTGGAGCCTCTTGGATGTGGATTTTGAGATCGATGAAAAATTGTTGATTACGTACATTGGTGTTGCAGTTTGTGGGTCTTACAGGTCCCGATCATGACAGTGTATAGTGACTTCTTTCTAACTTTTTTTCAAGTTGGTCAATTTGGCAAAGTTCAATTATGTCAAGTTTGGTAATTAGTTTATTTTAAAAAAACATTAATATTTTTCTTGACTGTAATATTTTAAGCTTTACAGGAACATATAAATGAATGAAAAACATTTTTATTAATATATTAATTAAAATGAATAACTATAGTATCATAAAAGTTATATTTCATTATTATATGTTTTAAAATATTTATATTCATTTATTTGGTGCACATTTAGCAACATTCACAAAATGTTGTAGATAAGGTTAAGTCAATATAAAAAGGGTTAAGTAATTGCATCCCTTTTAATTTTATCCAAAGGTCTTGTTGGTATGGAATGATTCTTCAACAGTGTGCTTTAACAAATCCTTTTGTGAGGGTCACTCATACTATTTGAAATATGTGTGTTTTCAAACCTGCTACTGTACATTTTAGATGTATTTCTCTCTTATTTCTTAGTGTCTGCGAAGTGTTTGGAAAGAGAGCAATGCTTGGCAGTAAGTGGTCTTGACCTTCATTCTTGTCTGCACTTCCTGCTGGATCTGTACTCGCAATGGACTGCTCCTCAGTCAGGGACACCTCTTCGCTTAATGAGTGCTGCTGTGTGCTCTGTGCTTGCAATCTCTGACTTATTCACTGAGCGAGCGCAATTTACGTGGATGTTGGCTACGTTCTTAGAACTGTCACGATTACATCCCACGGAGGATGAAATTTTACATCAGTATTTAGTCCTTGGGGCGTGCAAAGCTGCTGCTGTGCTAATGCCTGTGAGTTCTGTGATAATTATTATAATTAGAAAACTTTATTTTCCCAGAAGTATATCTATTAAAGATTTTTAAAACACTGCTTGAATATTCTCCTATCCCTTTTCTTTTATGCTATAAAGAACAATGTCTCAGTTCTTAAATGATAGAATCTTTAATTTTAACTCTGATGAATCCTAATGAATAAATTTCCTTGACAAGCTTTCATGATATAATTTGTATAATTAAACTTTCTTAATGTAATAATTAATGAATTTTAATTAATTCATTCATTTGTTGATCAAGAAGGTATATATTTTACTTTGTTTGAATTATTGGAAGATAACAGTTATATCACCGATAAATAATAGAATCATGATCTGTATCTTGATGTAGTTAACTATAATAATGACTCTGTCCATGAAACCTTCACATTTTGTAATTTATAAAATGTTTGTTTTTAAGAAAAGTATTAAAGTGCTTCATTGCTATTTCTTGTGCTACCTTGTTTTTTCAGGAACCAGAAATTAATGAAAGAGTTCGACGCGTTTTGGAGGGAGGTCTTAGAAGTGCCTTCCTTCCTGCTCGATTGGCAGGTTTGCATGGAATTCTGTATTTGCTGCAAGCTGGACCCATTTCGTCTGCTGGAAGTGAAGATGGATCGATTGGACATATAGTTGCTAGTGCTTCTGAGTATATTCAACGAAATATAGCAGCTACTTCACCGGATAATGGGTACGAGTTTGAGAAGAAATTGTTTTGTTTTGTTATTTTTTTCATTCTTTTGTAAATTGATAGATAGTTCCGTTTTGAAAATAAATGCATGTCCCTGTTCATTTGTTAATTCTTACATTAATTATTTTGAAATAAGGAAGGAGAATTATCAGTGAATATTGAGAATATTGGATTATATATGAATATATTATTATGTGCGAATATTAGATATAAACGAAATCTACTGTGCAATAGTTATGAAAGTTTCTATTTTAAAGCTATGAGAATGTTTACTTCTTATTCTTAGTATTAATGTATGGTTTTCTAACACAAGTTAATTTGGCAAAGTAAAAAATTTGTTGCTGAACAATATTGCTTAACAATTTATGAATCTAACTTAATTTTACAGAAGCAGTGAGGAACATACTTTGTTGTTGTGGGCCCTGATTTTCTTTGTTCTGGAGGCTCAAGCTGAAGAACATGGTCCTGAAACTGAGGGAAATCAGGCGATTCTTCACACAGTACTCAATTCAGCTACGGCTCCAAACTTGTTGTGGTCAACTCATGTCACTCTTTTGCAAGTTCGTATAAACATTTTTTTTTTTTTTTCACTACAGTTAGGTAGAGAGATTTTATTACAAATTTGCTTTGCGCAATACTCAATGACAAACTATTATTACAATTAAAATTAAGTATATTAATTTTAATATGTATCGAAGGTCCAATATACAGGATAAGTTTTTTCAGATGGAAAACAAATCACCTCTACCTTATCAATCTGATGAACAAAGGTTTCTAATGTGATTTCACTGACTTCTTCTATAACGTCTTTAAGGTTGTGCTTATGTTGAGAATAAATTTGGAGGATAGTTCTAAGTGTTGCAAAAGAAAGAACTGCTTTTTTGTGAAACAAACTAGGAAACCTCATATTTGTGAATTGATGGAATCAGAGACCAAATTACAACAACCCTATGTACTTTATAGCCCTGCAAACCTGCCCAAATTTAAGCCGTCATTATCTTAGTTTGTCAACTAGTCATTGGACTGGCAATTCACACTATTCGCAAATATTGTTATTAACCCTTTTCACACTTCATGTGCTCCTTCCTTTTGTTTATCCATTTTTTTTTTCCTCTACCTGGATTGTCCCAATGTATTAATCAGTATGTTTGTCTTTCTTTTGAGGTTGTGTATCTTCCCAAACTTTGTTCGACTATCAAGATGTTCTCAAGTTCTTTACCACATTATTTTATTAGTTCTGTTGCAATTTCAACTTCTCCTGGTCTTCTGTCCATAGCTTTTATAAATACCCTTTCAAGCTGTTCTTTTGAAATTTGTGGCACTCTTTTTTGTTCTTCGTCTTTTGTGATGTCCATCCTCTAGTCTGTTACATTGTTCACATCCACAAAAATTCAATAGGTCTTCAGTGCTCTATCCATTTCTCCTCAGGAATGAAATCTGGGAAAATGTCTCTTATGTCAGCTCTGAGAATTCTTATGATTACTAATAATAGAAGCTATAATATTAATAACTTTAATCATTGTCATCATCCTTATCTTCAAGAAATAAGGTTAAGAATTAAGCTGTCCTTTTTAATTTTTCTCGTATTCCCTTCAAATATTTCCACATTGTTCTTGGTTTTACAAGTGTAAAATGTGCCCACATTGCTCAAGAACAACAAATAGAATACTCTTGTGAAACACTGCAACAAATGAAATATTTTTACCAAAAATTCTTCAGAAATGCTGCAATCCCATTGTTCAGTATATAAAGACACGAAGTACCACGGTTATTTACGTACTAAAAATATCAAAAATGTTGGTGTTCCTTAATGCAACACGTGAATAGCAAATATTTAATGGTAGGCATCCTTTTGAAGTTTTGCTGTCACATGATGTTGGCAATAATACACTGGGTATGAAAATTCAATTGGTACGCACAGTATACTAGATGAAATAATACAATCGAATATTTGCATTTTTCAGGGAAATCAAAACTGTTTCATTGTTTCTGGATTTTTCCGAAGTTTCTGGCTGTCTAACGAAACCATAGAGACCTCTTACTGACCAGAGGCTCCATAGTTGTTTTTTTCAATTTTTATGTTCATTGGAAATTTGTAATATAAATGTTTTTGTACTTTTGACAACTTCTTGGGTATCTAACAAAACCTTAGAGATGTATCATGCCTGGAGGTTGTACAGTTTCTTTCCATTTTGACACATATTAGAAATTAGCAATATAGATGTAAATTAGAATTTTAGGGAAGGAAAAAACGAAATGACTAAATTGCAAATGTATATGCTAATCTTTTTATATTGAATAGGGCCTGGAGCGTCTTGTAGCTGTTCGTGCTGTAGGAAGTCAGGTTGCTGAACAAGTAAGTCAGCTAGCTGTGGAAAAGCTACGAGACTCTAATCCTGCACGGTCACTACCAGCTCTGCAACTGCTTCTTACATGCATGTACACAGGTAAGATATAAATGTAACTTGTGTAGATACTATAACTGCAGGATAAGTGCCCTAAACTACAACCCTCCAAAATATATTTAAAAATTCAAAAATAGATTTAAAAAATTGTTGTAAAAGAAAAATGTCAAATGTTTTTAATATAAACATTCAGTGGATAAGGGGGTCCAGAAATGTTCCATCCCCCTCCCCCTCCTAACTGGAGGCTGTGCACAACACCAATAATGAATTAGTTGTGATGTCTCCTGCTGTTAAAATTAATTATCAATTTTTAAACTACATTCCCTTCTCTTATTGATGAGAAGTTTTTATTATTTGTATCACAGAGAAACCAATTGTTGCTGCCCATGAGGTGAAACAAATGGATCCAGAGGAACTAATCCATACCATGGAAAAAACATCTGCTTTGTTTGATAGGTAAGAATTGCTTAAGCCTGAATATTTGCTTCGTAATATTGACCTACTGATTGCTGTTAATAATGATGAGAAAAACTTGTAATATTGTATTTAACCCTTATCCAAGCAACTAGGGTATGGGGTAACCAAAAGCACAATTTTCGTATAGACATTTCGTAGTCACATATTTTACACATAAACTATAGACGGTTTTAAGATAGTTTTCAGTGATTTTGTTACTTTCTTGTTATTCATTTTTGCCATTGAGTATTTGGTGAAAACAATGAATTACAAAAACACTGTGATTTTTCCCCTGAAACCATATCAGTGAGATCCAAGGAACCCGAGTCTCGTAGTCTGTGAGTAAAGATTGCGTATTGTGTTTTGTCTCGATTGTTTTTTTTGGGGGGGGCTGTTCAATGAGCAAGTGTCAGTTGGATTCTGGACAGTGTTACATACTTTCTTTAGAATGATATCTGACACTGCACCTGATAACACCTTTCTAAAAAATTCACATTCTGATAAGTGTTCTTTGAACTAATAATTGTTCTGATTATTTTGGCTTGCTAGTACATGGCCAAAAGTTAGGAAATCGATTACAAGAGTTTATCAAACTCTTGTGTGGTCCATGTGTTGGGGGCTAAACTTTTGTTGGTTCAAATTTTACCTTCTTAATTTCTCACAAAGCATTATCCTGAAAGTACTTGAATTTTCATTCATCAGATTACTGTATTATCATTTGTACTTAGTAAAAATAGATAGATCTGTTGCATTGCTTGATGAATTGTATCTAAATTAAATAAGGTATGATCTGGACCAATTCTTACATACATTTAAAAGTCATAGCAATCACTGATCTTTTACATTTTTCATGAATATGTTGGTTATGGGTAGCCTTGGATGAAAACCTCAGTTCTGAATAGAATTCACCAAAATGTGTGATCAGATGGTTGTTGCAGAGAATTAGTAAGTGCCATCTGTCAATCATTTACGATATTGGTGTTAGCTTTCACATCTCAAAACATCAAAGAGAATACAAAAATGTTGTCATTTATGTTCTTGAGAAAGAAATAGAAAATAAAAACAGTGATTTAGCACCAGTTGAAAACTTGTCTGAAACAAACATAGTTAAATATGAGAATGCAGGGGATCTGCAATAGTAGGAAAATGTTTAAAACATGAAATGTAAATTCAGAATTTTATTTAGTTTTTTTAAAATTAAACCATTAAATTAGTGGGTCCTATTTTTTATCTGCATTCAATGAAGATGATTCTGTTTAAGGCATTCATGGGTTAGCTGGACCCTGTTTGCCTGATCGCATTATCAAATAGATTGTGAGGAAAAGGTAAAGATCTGACAGCATTGTGTCCATAGTTAGGTTGAAGAAGTTGTGAGGCAGATTTTAATTTGGCCTTCAAAAAATCTAAAAGTTGTGGAGGAGAAATGTAAGTAAAATTGTTTAGATTCACTAATATTTCGAAGTTGAATAATTTGAAAACATTTTTTTTTCTTCTTCTTAGGATCAAGAGAGGATATCCATCAGAAGTGGCAATGCTGTGCAGTGTCCTTCCCAGTCTTTTGACAGATTTTTTCCCTCCTTCAGAAATGTTAAGCAAAGTAGTTGGAGAATTTTTGTCTCCTCAACAGCCTCATCCTCGTTTGTTGGCTACAGTTGTTTTTCAAGTGAGTTAATTGTATGGAAGTTAAGTTTGTGGAGTAGAAGTTTGATGTTTGGTGGGTTGGATTAGGATCTTGAAAATTTAAGAATTTTCACTACACATGTAAAAGCATTCTCATGCATCTATTACAAGGTCATACTTGTACAAATTCTCATTCATGCTGAGTAAATGATTGTGTTAAAGATTTTATATATTATTTTGTTATATATTGTAGCAAATTTTCCAACATTATATTGGAGTGATACTTATTTTTTTTAAATTCATGTATGTAGTACTGATGTTTCTTTTCAGGTGTTTGAGCGAGCTAGTCAACAAGCACAGTTACCTCTTCTCCAAGACTGGGTAGTATTCAGTCTGTCAAATTTCACTACATGTTCACCTATTGCAATGGCTACGTGGTGTCTCACTTGCTTTTTTATTAGTGCCTCTCCAAATCCATGGCTTCGTGCTCTGTATCCTTTTATGCACTTTTAAAAGGTTTTTCTTACTGAGAACTTAAAGCTTATAAGGTATTTGTGTTGAGATGGTTTTTTTCTGGTTTTGCAGCATGTGAATATTGTTACTTTAAAAAAGAAAATTGAATAAACACTGTATTATAATATACCCAAGTTTGTGGAAATAATAGAATACTTTGTACAGAAAAAATTATGTAGTATGTTCATTATAATATTCAAAAGAGATTGTCTTTAGCTTATTGATTCTCCCATTGAAGATTTTTCTTAACTAATATGCCAGATTCCCTCATGTCCAGTCTCGAATCGGTCGACTTGAGTATGAAGACCGTAAACTTCTGTGTGTAGCTGCTGCAGACTTTTATAATCATGTAAGTACATTACAAAATAGTTCCTTTCCTCATTCTAAAATATTTTGCAAATTTAAATATTCTCAGGATAATATTACGCAGTGCATTATAATTTAGAGGAGATCACTTCTAAATACTACTAGAAATTACCTTGAAACAGACTTAGTTTGACATTTGTAAATTATAGGCTATCATGGAGGTAACTTTAAAATTAATAATTATATTTAAAAAAGAAAAATGAACATGAGATTAGAAACATTTTATCATGTATTATTTTAAATATCACATAGTTGGGTTAGCTTCATTATCCTCAAGTCAGGGTCCTTGAAACCTTGGCCTACAGGCTAAATCCAACTCCAAATGAGATTTTAAGGTGCTTGGGATATTTTGAGTCCAGAGTCTCATTAAACTATTGAGAAATTCAGTGGTGGTGGTGATGCTGAAGAGATTAATTGGGGGGAAGGAGATGTCTGCAGATGTTGAGAGAACCAGGTCATGTCAGGGGTCTCGAATGTAAAGATGAGGCAGCACTGTTAAATAAAAGCAGAGGAATTAAGATTTGTGGTATTTGTCACCTTACGTTGTTCAAATATTTTGTGAAATGCATTGTGGGTGTTGATGTTTTAATAAATTAAAAAAGTAGACTACTGCTCTTCCCAAAGTAAACAAAAAAAATGATATTTTATTTGTGTTCTTCGTTTTCATTACATTCTTATTGAGAGGTATGATTACTGTTGTTTGTTTTTCTCTTTTCATTCCAAACATGTATTTAATTTCATTTTGTTTATGTAAGTGTTGTACTTAATTGTTCTAGCTTGCTGCAGTTATCAGAATTAGTAGAATTAGAAAGGTTGCTATACTTCTTGAAAATGTAGGATTGTCTTGAATTTCAATGAAATTTCTTCCAACCAGATTTTAATTTTTTGTATGAAACATCTTGAATTATTAATTTGAACAAAAATTCAAGTCAGTATTGTCTTATGTTGGCTTCACTCATAAATACTTTTTGTCCTTTTTGCTCAGATTTTAAAACCTACAGAACATGGAGATAACTGATTTTTGGTGAACCTTCTTGCTTGTGTTTTCATTGATGGTACAGTAGAACTTGTAGTAACAGAAATAAAGGAGACGATGGTCATTTCAAATAACCAAACTTTCTATTAAGAAGAAAGATTCAATTTTTAAAGTTGAATGTGAAATTAAAATTACTCTTTCAGCTTACATAACGGACTTCTACTTTTTAAATGTATTACTATTTGACAACTAGTACAAATGATATTTGTACAATTTGCATGTTCCTCCATATATCAAAATTGTCTATAAATTGAATAATTTTTAGTCCCTTGAAAATTCTATTTAAAAGAGTTTCTATATATTGAAATAATTTTCTGACTTCACCATTTTTTCTATGAAATAAAAACATACAGTACCTACTATAAATTATGTTCCTAAAATAGTATTATTTAATTTGGAAGGGGAGTATTACTACAGCTGAAAGTTTAACTTCCTTCTGGACGGTTATGTAATTGAATTCATGTTTATAAAACACCAACGTGTTTGCTGCATCCTGTTCCCAGCTTTCTCTTGAAGGTAACTCGCTACTTCTTTCCCTCTTTGAGGGAACTCGTCAGTTGTAGGAATGTGTCTGCCAAAGCAATCTTAAGGTTAATTGCATACCCCTTCATCTAATTGCCCTCTCCTTCGATGTTACTTCGTCAGTTCAGTGCAGGTTCAGATTGCTGTTATGTGCTTAAGAAGAGTGCTCTAAATGTTGAAACGAAAATCCCTTAACATTGCAGAAAAAGTGACTATCAAAGATGAGGACAATGGTATGGAAAAAAAAAGAGAGAGAGAGAGAAAACTAGTTGGGGCAGAAGTATGGAATAGTTACTAGTTCAGTTTTGACCAATGAAAAACTGCAAAAAATGTTTCAAAACTCTCAAAACTCTAGAAGGAGATCAGAAATTTTGTGTATTTTGAAGTTTCTATGTATTGAATATTATTGAAAGAACTGTCAGATTTGATATATGGAGGTCCAACTGCTATTTTTACAATTATTGCAGAAGGCAACTGAGTGGGGTGAAAATGAAGCAAGTTATATGCAAAACCGAACCCTAGGTCTATCTTTCTATCTGCCTTTCTCCTCCCTATCTCTAAGAAGATTGTTGACAGGACAGACAGGGATGGTTCATGTTACTTTGTTCCATTTTCTCTCATTTTTGGGGAGCTGATTATTTCTGTTTCTATTTCACCTAAAAGGGTTTGAGTTAATAGAGGTTCTATTATTTAGTTATTCAGCATGAATGTATTGTAGTTATATCTAGTTGAATTTTGTCAAAAACTTAATGCATTTCATTCATTGTCAAAATTATATTTCTGTTCCCAATTTTATACTTAACCATAGTCCTAGTTGCCCTTGTCTTGACAAGTTTGGAGACCCCTGCAGTAAGCCAATAAAATATATGTGAACTAATGAATGAATAAAAAATACTTTGACCGTTTTGCCATCTAATGAAAATATTTTATTAGTTTTTTTTAATGTTTATAAAAAATTTGTTCAAATTTCAGCTCAGGGATGAGAAACAGAAGCAGACGTTTGTTTCAACATTCCAAGCTGCTGCACATATGCAGCAAACTCCTTTCTCTGAACTTGTTGCTTGTCTTTAACATCAGAGGCCAAACTTGTTTACATCCAATGCATAACATGTCTTGTGCAACACTGTACAAGAAGTGTGATTCCTGTTGATATTCTGAGTTGAGACACCATGTTCTACCCTCTAGATTGCCAAAGTAATTTTGTCTTCCTGAAGACTCTTGTATTTTTATGAAACCCCTTTTCTGAGCTTTTAAAATTTGTTCATCATTTTTTAAATATTACTAACAAAATTCTTAAAATATCCATCCAATTTTTCTGTCCTTTATTTTGTTAACATCGAACAACATATATTGTTTATAAAAGTATGTAAATATCAACTTTAGCATTTATGATATATTTGGTCACTTGTAAATGCTTCCCTGTAGTATGAAATTTAATTTTTGTGGATAATGGAAAGAACATCATAAGCCTTATTATAATTATTACTATCATAAATAGCATTGTACAAATATGAAAAGTAATATTGTTGCAAATGAGTGCTACATTATGTTATAGCATTTTATTTTATTTGCTCTAACAGTTTGTATAAAAATAGTACTGTATTGTACACTTAAAAGAACTGATTTTTTAAACTTGAAAATTGATATTCCATTTGTAGCAATACATGCCTCTTATATTGCAATATTTATGAATAAGCTTTGAACACTATTGTTTGTTATGTTATTTCTGCTAGGAAGCATTCCATACACCTTTTTGAACAGTTTGTTTTGTACCTACTTCTAGGATATTTTTCTATTCCATCTAATGCTCTTTGTGTATCATAGTTTTTGTGAACCAATTTACTCTATTATACTATTTTTTAAAGACTGGGTTGTGATAATTATGTAATATGACAATTACCTTTATATCATGTGTTGCATAATGTATCTTAAATTTTGTTTTATGTATTGTATGTTTTTATGGTTTTGTTATTGTTTTGTTTTTTTTATGTATTGGTTGATTAATCAAGAAAGCTTTGTTATTAGTAATAATAGTATTGAACCTGAATAAAGCTAGAAGAGTTATTTTTTTTCTCTTCTATTTGATTGTTTAATTTGATATGCTCTGAACGTATTCATTCATTACTATTACAAATTTAAAACCACTTGTATTTCACTTCAAATGTTCCCAAGGTAGTGTCATCTCATTAAAATACATTAATGGAAAAATTAATGTTTTCGTGACTAGATGAAATACAAAGTTGTATTTCACTGCCTAGGATCATCAGCCATATTCTGTGACATGCTTCAATTCTTAGAATCAAGATAAATGGATATCAGACATTAGAGTATTTTTGAAAATATCTTGATAACTGATTCATAGCAAGATAGACTTCTTCATTGTCACAAGAGAAGGTGGTGATGTTACTTGTGCAATTTCTTTTGTTTTAAACATAGACCTTTGTAGTTACGATGATAGTATTTCATCAGTAATGCTATATTATTACTGCAGTTAGATTAAATTGTTAATATTGAAGCAGATGATCAATAGTTCTGTGAGTATTTTTGAGAAATTCTTGACTTCCATTGTATAATGGGATAATCTTTTTCATTGAATCATGAAAAAATGGTGATACTTGTACAATTAATTTAAATTATAGCTCCTCTATAGGTATGTGACTAGCTTGTGTGCCTCGTGTGAATACTGGGGTTGATCCTCAAATTTAGGAGAGAGCGCATAGTGAGTGAGGTGATATGGGGCCCTGAATTGAATGATAGCAAAATTATTGGTTATAGTAGATTTGGCATTTGGTGCAATCTAGCCTTAAAACTGAAGTTACATCAGTACCTGTAGACAGAAAGGACAACTCATTTAGTAAAGAACAAATACAGTTTAATTTCAATATTTTTGTTTATTGAGAAAACAGCTTTAATGTTACTCTGGCGTATTTTAGTCAATTCAGTGTTTCTCATTTTTCCTTCTCATTAGGGCTTGTCCATGAATTACGTAACTCTAAAGACGGTGGAGGGAGTTTAAGGCAGCATTATGCTGCGTTACATAAGTGTATGGGACATAACAAGTTAAATTAAAAATATAATAAATAGGAGAAGTTATATTCTACAAATTATTCCAATAAATGAAAATATTTTTCGTCAATGTTATAGATTGAATCTTTTAGATTTCAAAGAAAATATTCAAAACAGATCTATAGTATATTCTAGAATCCAAGTAGCAGGTCTATAGTATATTCTAGAATCCAAGGCACAGTAGACTCGGAGCCTATGCGTCATTCATGATGGCATGTGCACGGTTTTTCAAACATTTTCTGGCCTAGGTGTTCTTTCATTAAAAACTTATTGTAATGTGCAGTCCGCACCATCACTAATTCTCAAGTTAATTATAATAAATTTTAATGAATAACGCAAATACAATTAATACAACTCATTTCTGCTTTAAAATTGAGTTTTATTTATTAGAAGGGGGGGGGGGGCTTGACACAAGTGTTACGTAATTATTTGAGGGAAGTTCAAGCGTGCATTACAGGGGGAGAGGGGTATTCAAAATACTCCAAATTTACATTACGTAATTTATGGAAGGCCCTTTACAATTTTTTGGTAGCGTTTTTAATGTAATAAGTTGTAGAGTTCTTGTTTTCAATTTTTTCTTACAATCATGTGCAATCTTAAATGATATTTGTAACATTTGTTTGCTGTTGATGGAACCAAAGGTGTTATCAATGTTCCATCTAGGCTAACTGCAATGTGCATTCTATAAACTTGTGTTTCTAATGTTTTTACATAAAAAAAAAAGAGTAGTTATGAAGACAGTGAAAATACTCAATCTGTTTTTTCTCATGATATTGACAAGTGAAAAGAATGGCTCTAAGAAATTTTTAAAACATCAATTATTATGTACACCAAAGTGTATAAGAAAATAATTAACCGTTGGTGAAGCAATAATAAATTTTGAAACAAATTTCAAGAAAATTGATAAGTTCTCTAATTGTTTGTCATGACTAGTAAGTTCAAAAACCAAACGTAAAATAAATCATTAATTTTTTTTCCTCTTCCTAGAATACTTTAGTACAAATGGAAATATTCTGAAAATAATTGATTTTTTGAAGAAAAGGAGTATAGTGAACTCTTAAACAGGATATTCTTATTCCATTTGAACAAGCATAAAACATAAAAAGTTGTTTTTTTTATTTTCATCAATATGATTTTTCATACTATCCTTGTATTTTTCTCTTTATAATTTATTTTCCAGAAAATTAAGTTTAAGATGTGTTTCACACATCATATTCCACCAGTTCACCCCCCTCCTCTTTGCTTCTAAAAATAAAAGTGCATTGCAAAAAAATGAGTGTTCTGTATTAACGTTTTTCTCCCTCACTGTAAAATAGAGAGCATTTAGAGTGATTTGCTTCAACTGTAAGATATATATGTGCACATTGCAGGTGTGTCATTTAAAAAAATTATTTTAATGTACAGATTTTCAATGTGTACTTTTGTTATGAATATTTGTGTAGCAGTTCTCATTTTATTCACAATACCATGAATTTTACTTGTGTGTGAAGAGAAATTAAGTTTTTATTAATAATACATTATTTACTACATTTAAACAAGATATAAGATGATACAGAAATTTTAAATTGGTTTTGATTCTGAAATATTTGATTATTGATTTAACATTGTGGACCAAGAAGGCTGAATACTTCAGAGTTAACTGTTGAACATTTTGTGAAATGATTTACCAATTATGTTTGTGCAATATTTTAGTAAAAAAAGCAATTATTTATACAGTATTTTAAAAGTAACAGATTTGAAAGAAGGGTTATTTCTACTTTGGTGAATTTTTTTTTCTTGGATGAATTTAATTTTGTAGATAAATATCAAGAAAGGATTACAAGTGAAGAGGTACAACTTAAGTGTATTTTAGGATATAAATATTTATTTCATATTAAAATTAATTTTTATTGGTCCCCCCTCACCATTTATCATATTTACCCAAGTATAAGACGACCGAGAAGGCTGAGGATTGAAGTCTTCTAAGACCTTTTTAAAACTTTTAATAAACTAGTGAATATAAAATTGCAAATTTTCTAATTGAATATAAAGTTCTATTGATGAGAATGGTGCAATTTAATGTCTCTTCTACCACAACTTTCTTGTTCGCTAAAATCATCACAATCATGTTTTTTTGTCACTATCATCTTAATCTTCACATTTACCGCTGTTTATTTTTGTTCCTCCTCCCTTACTGCATCGTCGTTTGACATTTTATCTCCTCTGAACGTTTTGTGTGTTGAATTTGTGTTCCCAGTGTTCATCTGTCGCACCTAAAATCGTTTCTTTTGAGTCACCAGGTTTTCATCTGGGCACGCAATTGACTCTAATTCTTTAACAATTCACTTAAAATTCGCGTGATCAATTTGTGAACTGAATCCCGTTCTCTTCATAACCCCATTCCATTGGAGTGGACAAAGTTACCAAAGTTGGGAACTTTTTCTTTCTTTCTGTGATTGGATGCAGAATGCCTTCTTCTATCAATGCTAGAGAGGTGGCTTAGGCATCTACTGATGTCACAGCAGTGCCTCCGACCTGGAGGTCCTTGGTTCGAGTCCCGACGGTGGCAGGATTTGCGACACGGGCTTGTCAGCTAGGTCGAATTCAGCAGCTGTCTGAAGGAGAATTCTAGCGGCCGCTGGCTCTGATCGGTAGATTTCCGTAGTTTCTCCAATCTACATCAGTTGATGCCGAATCTCACCATCCAGCAGGGAAGAACACCGCCACCTCCCGAGGGGAAAACATGCACAACATTTACGGGACATGCCCACAGTTGACGCGCCCGGAATCACTAATCTATCAATGCAAATCCCCCCCTTTTTTTTTTCACCATCTCTAGCAAAACGCAAAAGACGCGGGCGCCGAACCGCGGGCACGCGCGTCGATTAAGTTGATCGTCTAATCAGCCGCAACGTATTACAGAATATCGGCGGTTTTATTAACTTTCTCGTTGCGTTTCATTTGCTACAATGCCTTTTGTTTTGTTTGAAATTCTTTTTATACAGGTCCCTTATAAAATGTTAGTCTGAATCGCCCGGCAAAGACGCGTTGGCTGCCAAGAATACATCCGCGAATACAATTAGATTTTTATAGATAGGCGTGATGTTTAACGGCTTTTGCTGCTTATTGTTAAGTCAGCATTCGAGTTTCTTGACAAGGGAAATCCCAAACGACTGGGCGTAATCTGCGTTTGTGAGACGATCCCGGAGTTTTCGAATGAGATATTTTAGGAAAAACCTCGTCTTATATTCGGCTAAATACGGTAATTTCTTTTCATTTGTTATTCCATCAAAGGTGGACTGGAGAACAGCGACCCCCATGCCCACCCCCACCCCCGAGAGCCGACCGTCACAGGAGCCTCTGGTAACTACTCTTAACAGTTACAGATGGCGTTAATGTGTGAAGGGGGAGCCATTCTCCATATTAACCCTATCAAATTTCATTTATATAAAAATGTAATTTTTGAATAAATGTGAATTTTTCTGTGGATTTGTTCAGTGGTAATGTGACTTGGAACTAAGGTGATTTATTCACAGAACTGATAAACATGTCTTTCTAGTTAGGTTGTTTTATATTTTAAGCATTTGCTTAACTTCCTTGTTTCAGTAACTAAGTTAATTACAGTACTGATAATTTATACAATTTGATGTAGAGAAAACAAAAGATAACCAAGTACACTTCTGCTTTGTTCGGAACTTAATCAAGACAATATAATCAGTGGAAAAAAGAAGAAGAATTGATTTTTGTCTAAAGAAAATTTTGATGCTGATGTATGTTAGATTGCCGTAGGTACTTTCCTTTTTGTGAATTTTATTGGAAGTTTGATAGTAATTGCCTTGATCATGTCAATGAAACTAATTTATTAAAATAGTTGCCTTTCCATGTTAGGTAATGCATGTAATAATTGCTTTGGAAACATATGTGCAAGCCGACAATCACAGTTTGTTATTTGATTACTTTTTGTTGGCAATGGTGTGTTCCAAAGTCACTGTTTGAATTATTAATGCATGTTTTGCCTTTATAGTGGATATAATATTATTTTTATACACTGTCCAATTTTTGTGACAAGATAATGAATGATGTGTTAAATATTACTTTCTCTCATGACGTAGGTCTTGTGGAATTGTAAGTCTTATTGCAACACTTATTGTGCATGCAAAAATTACTAAAAAGATACTGTAAAATAGTTTTAAGAGTAACAAAACACATTTCAAATGTAGTGTAAGAGAAACCAATCTTAAGAGATATTTATGTGCAAAATAATAGTCAGATGTTGTCTAGAAACGACATTGTGAAGATGGTAGTGGAATCTTTGTGTGATATCTGTTATTTATTTGTTATTGAAGAGAAAAGTTGAATGTTTGAATAAACTTTAAAATGGAATTTAAAATGTTTAATAATTCATAGATCTTGCGAAAATATTAGATATTCAGGTGCAGGAAGCCAAAAATGAGTTTTTCTGAACTAAATACTGGTTTGCAGTAATTTTTGTCTTGTCAACTTTCATAATTTTTTTTTGTTCTACTTCTTTCCAAAGAAACATTTCTGAATTTTCAACTTTTTGGTCAAACAACACCCAAGCTTTATGACACAAAACTAATTTGAGAACTTGATTCTCATTTGTTGAGTGATAATGAACTAGTATGACTACTTTAATGTCTTTAATGAGATGTATGTTATTTCCATAAAAAAGACTTTATAGATAAGGCCTTGACAAAAAGTATTTTCTAGTGCGTATGTTATGATGTAAATAATGGTATAGAAAGGCATTCTGTATGGGAAAAGGAATGAAAGAAAATTATTGTTATTAAATTATTTACTGATGCAAGGTGTGTTACTCATGAATTGTGTGGTTGTTATTCATACACATATTTATGAAAATAAATAAAATCAATAAATTAAAAGTGTTGTTGTTTTTTCTGGGGGGGGGGGGGAGCGCAAATTGGCCATCTAGAACCACTTGGAGATACACCTGCTCTTACCGAGGCCCCACCTTTATCCCATGGGAAGTGTATGTGACTTTTTTCTGGGGGGATCAGAATTAGACTGAATCCAATTTTTATCCCCAAGGGTTGCTAGTCCTGGGTGGATGGATGATGATGGTGATAATGAAGGATGAATTATTATTGTTGTTATTATTATTATTATTATTATTATTATTATTATTATTATCATTATTATTATTATTATTATTATTATTATTATTATTATATTAATATTATATATTATTATTAATATGCCAACAAACATAATTATCCTCACGTGTAAAGGAGTAAGGCAAGTTCAATATATCACCCGCCAAACTAGTGGTGCTGCAGAATGGCACATACTTTCCCGTATTAC